TGAGCGTGCCACTGCCCTCCAGCCTGGGCAACAGAGTGAGACTCTGACTCAAAAAAAAAAGCTTTATTTTTTATAATTTTTAAGTAATTCACAAACTACATAATTCACCAAGTTAAAATGTACAGTTTAGGCCAGGTGCGGTGACTCATGCCTGTAAACCCAGCACTTTGGGATGCCGAGGTGAAAGGACCACTTGAGCCTGGGAGTTCAATACCAGTCTAGCTAGGCAACATGACAAGGTCTCTACAAAAAAAATTTAAAAATTAGCTGGGCATGGTGGTGCATGCCTGTAGTCCCAGCTACTCAAGAGGCTGAGGCTGGAGGATTGCCTGAGGCCAGGAGGTCGAAGCTGTGGTGAACCATGATCGTGCCTCTGCACTCCAGCCTGGGTGACAGAGTGAGATACTGACTCAAAAAAGAAAAGTACGATTTTGTTGTTTCTCATATAATCACAGTCTTGCAGCCATCATCGCAATCAACTTTAGAACATTTTGATCAGCTCAAAAAGAAACCCCGCAGCCCTTATCTGTCCCTACCCAACTCTCCTGTCCCCAGCAACTGCTGGTCAGCTTTCAGTTTTCTATAGATTTGCCTGTTCTGGACATTTCATATAAATGGAGTCACACAGTATGTGGCGTTTCGTGTCTGACTTCCTTCCCTCCGCATCCTGTTTTTGGGCGGTTCATCCTCGCTGTGGCACGTGTCAGTGTGTCCTTCCTTTTTATGACTGAATAATATTCCATTGTATGGACAGACTACACTTGAGCCATTTGTCCGTTGATAGACATCGTTTTCACTTTTTGGCTGTCACGAGTGAATACCGTGGCTGTAAACGCTCGTGCCCAAGTGACAGCCACTTCTGTTCATTAGGACTTCGCTTATGATATGGAATTTCTTTTTCTTTGTTTTGAGTTAGAATTTCTTGACTACCTATACCATTGGAGTCCAGGGGCTTCTATGATAATTCAGGAGAAACACTTGCTTGGGAATTCTTTGTGCTTTTGAGAGAAACCTTGCCCTCCAGGGTAGAGTAGGGAAAATGGCAGTAGCAGGCGGAACCACCTTCTGCAGCGTCAGAAGGTGACTACAGTCCCAGACCTGTCTGCAGCCAGATGATGGGGCAGCCCCGCCTTGGTTGGGAGCCCTACGGGATGACGGGGCGTGGAAGTGCAGTGGGTTGGCCTGTCCTCAGCCTTCTTCTTCTTAAGATCTGTTTTGGGATCTGCCAAGCTGGGGCGCCTCCCATCTGTGAGCACGTCGGCTGTTGGTTTCTTTTTAGTGAGATCAAAACGGCAAGACGCCAACAAATGGAGTTTGTCCCAAAGGGCTTTAATGCCCCTGCATTCCCTTCCCTGGGGATTCCCTGCCCTCAGCCCTCAGCAGGTGGGATGCTTTGGTCGCTGGAGCTCACAGAGCTGATTCAGGCATTGAGGGTCTCGGGCCAAAGGCCCACCTGCTGCTGCAGCCAGACCTACCTAACCCCTACGAACAGGTAGCTGTGAAGACAGAAACTGAGGGCCTGAACTGGCATCTGGTTACAGCGCCCTCCTCCTCTGGGAGATTTACCCTCTTTCTTCCTCGGAAACATAGAAAGTCAGTGAACCTGATTTCAAACAAAGAGGTTTCTTCCTCGGGACATACAGACATCATACTTTCTCTTCTCTTGTGTAGCGACAGTCTCCCTTCTGGATGGGGGACCCAGATCGTTGAGGAACGACGGACAGTAGCCATGTGGCATGCCCAGTGGCATCTTTTAGAACGGGAGAGCTGCATGGTGGTGGCCAGGAGGCGGGCGTCTTCTTAGGGATTCCCCCCCACCACCTCCTGTCACATCATTCACCTTAGGTTCTTTGGGAAGCAAGGCCCTCTTCCTCTCTCTTCCAGGGAGGGAAGGACCTTCTCTTCTGAGGAAGGACATCCCCTCAGCCTGGGGCAATTACTGACAGCCCTTTCCTAGGGCTGACTGTATGCCAGGCCAGGCCAGGGCAGGCCTGGGAGGTCCTGCTCATGCCCCCACAAACTCACAGTCTGGTGACTGAGGACAAGTGTCACAGTCTCTGCCCTGTAAGAGCTCACAGCTTAAGAGGGTGATTGCAATCCCTAAAAACTTTCAAAGACAGGCCTCCTGGGGCAGGGGGAGTGCATACTGCTTGTGATTTGTGTAGTGATCATAGTTGTCACATAATTTTGGGTCCATCCTGCAGTTCCTTGCTATTTCTGTCAGTTGATGCTGGTTTTCCGTTTGCAGAGGGTATGGATGCAAAGTCTCCTTTGGAAAATGTACGTGAGCAAGAAAAAAGTGGGAGAGGGCTAGGCACCCTAGCTCACGCCAGTAATCCCAGCACTTTGGGAGGTAGAGGCCAGAGGATTGCCTGAGCTCAGGGGTTTGAGACCACCCTGGGCAACCTGGCAAGACCTCGTCTCTACAATAAATTTAAAAATTAGCCGGGCGTGTTGGCACCACCTGTCGTTCCAGCTACTTGGGAGGCTGAGGTGGAAGAATGACCTGAGCCCAGCAGGTAGAGACTGCAGTGACCATGATGGTGCCACTGCCCTCCTCCCAGGGTGACAGCGTGAGACTCCAATTCAAAACAAAAAACTGAAACAAAGGGGGAGAGGCTCTCCCAGTGGAGTAGATCCTGTTCCCAGGGGTGCGAGATGGCACACGATGTGGGAGCAGCTGGCTCTGCCCTGCCGGCTCCTCTGAATCTTATATTGGTTTTCTGTCCGGTGAGCAGGAAACAAGGCAACGAAGACGGCCTCCGGGGCCCCGACCCGTCCCCCGTGGGGCAGGAGGAAGTACTCTTGTGAAAGGTGGCCCCCACGTGGAAAGCTGGGGGGCCCGGGTCCCTGGCTCCCCCGCACGCGTGCATCAACTACGGCAGGAGGAGGCGATGGAGCCCGAGTAGCTGTCCGGACGACTGGACCTCGCATGTGCCCGCGCCGCCTCTGCGGGGCTACTGCACCCCATGTTTCCATAGCAGCATGTCCTACGGAAACGAGCACGTGTGTAGAGCCTTGACTGTTATCTCTGGTTGTTTGTTTTTTCCTTTGTTGTTTTAAAGGGGACAAAAAAGGGAGGGGGGAACTTGACTCCATGACGTCAACCTTGGCCGCTGGCTGGCCAAATGGACGGGTGTGAGGAGTTGCAGACCCAGACCCATGTGCATTTGGGGACAGTTGCTTTTTAAAATGTTTTTATGCCAAAAATTCTTCATTGTGATTTCAGAACCATGTCCGATACACCCAAGTTAATGTGTGTGGGGTTTGAAAATGGTGGAAAAGTGAACAGAAAAGTCCTGGGGTCTGCGACCAGGGAGTTACCATCGCATTTGAGAAGGTCTGTCACTTTGGAAAGGTTGGGTGTGACTCGGCATGCCACCCCAAACCGTGGCACCTTCCAGAATCGTGGACTCAAGCTGTCAGAGCAGGGCTAGCACTCAGTAGCTGCAGTGAGTTTCAATGCAACTTATTTGTAAGAAGGATTTTTAAATTTTTTATGGGTACAGTTGTAGTCAGGAAAACAGAAAGGGCTTGAAGTTTAAGTGCTTCTGGAAGGGGATTTTCTTACCCTAGAAGGGCATTCAGCAGCTGTGGTGGGAAAAGTTTCTCCTGCAAGACTGAGTGAGTTTCTTGATGACAGCTGCTCAAAGCGGGTTTCTGAGACAATTGACTGAGTTCAGTACATCTCTTTGTTACATTACAAAAACTTCAGGGTGAAATCCTATACTTCCATGTACATTACATGGCTTAAGATCACGCGAAAAAAATATTTTCAATTCTCTAACTAGACTGAACTCTCGAGTACAGTAGTTCAGAAATTATTTAGAGCTTCCAGGATATATTTCATGGCTTCAGGCATGTGATCCAAGTTACAGCCAATGAAACCTGTGCCTGTATATATCAGCAGCTTTGCTTGTTTATAACCTGTGTATTCTAGAGACTGCTAAGGCTTTGTTTTCATTATAAATACTAGCTGAGTGTTGTAGTCAATGAAATACCCAGTTTCTGGAGGGCCAGTTGAGAAATGCTTTCACTCGACTGACGCACAGATGATCATTCTTACTTTTAGATCTTCCTTAGGGGTCCACACGGTAATGTTGGGGCACCTTTTCAGAGAAGATTATTGAAACCCAGAGCAATCCTTGGGGCACAGGGAAACTGGAGCTTTGCACAGAAGTTCCCCTTTTCCAGCCAAAAGTCTGGAAAGAAATGTTTTATCGTGTTGTCTTCCAGTTAACATTGGGAAGCTTGGTTGAGGTTCAAGTGTGACTCCTTCCGGAGCCACTTGTGGGCGAGTGTGAAGTACCAGGGGTGGAAAACTGGAAGGACTTTCCCCTGGGAAAGTCCGAGCTCCGCTTTCCAGCTCTTTGTAGAATCTGGTTTAGGGAAAATAGCATCGGTAACAGGACTCAGAAAGAAGACTGTGCTTTCCTGAGGTTTCCATCTGATCAGCCCTGGTGCGAGGACTTCTCTGAGAGACAGAAGCAAGGCCTTGTGGCCCCCCTGCCCGCCCATTCGCAAAGCCTTGGGCGTTCTTGGCTTCCATAAGTTTTCTTAAGCCTTGACTCTGGTTTAGCCAGACTTTTCTTGCTTCCGTCTAAGCAGTTCAGAATTAGGGCATGGCAGTTTCGAAGCACAAAGGACACCAGGCCAGGGAGGGCCGCCTCGCCTGCTTGCCTTCTGTTTGGAACTTACGCATCTCTTGCCCTCGTCCTTTACATTTATGGGGAAAGGACTCAACAGTGCCACCCTTCTGGTAGCAGATGGGGCTTGGTGAGTTTGTAGTAAGCACCTTGCAGAGCTTGAAGCCAACAGGTCCTTGATCTTAGGCCCAGCCTGTCTGTTGGGCTCCAGCCTGGCTGAGTGGCATGCCCGAGGGGCGCGGCAGCACACAGAGCTTCTGCAGAATTCCTCTTGTTTACACAGCCGCATCGGGCGCCATTTCTCCCTCCCCACCATGGAACTTTCCATCTGAGATTTCTTATGTGGACTGCCAGCAATCGGGCGGTACCCA